ACCATAGCCCCAATGGGAAATATTGTAGGGGGCGCCGTGGAGCTGTGTTGCATTTTACAACTTGGCCCAGCCTGACTTTTTTATTCATCCTGACCTGCTCTATATGCCTACAAAACTGCGTAGCTCTAAGGCAAATGTGCTTTTGACAATTTAGAAGGTGGCGCTGTGGAGCAATTTTTCTATTGAGGTGTGTATTGTTCTTCCAAATTATAAAATTTTTCACCGGGTCTGATGTACATGGCAATTTTGGTGAGTTTTCGAGTATGTTTAGGGCCTCAAAAACGCGTGTCTAATAATCCGAGCAGTTCCAACAGGGTCTTCGCACCCTTTTGGGTGCTCGGACCCTAATAAAGGAAACATGGCAGAATTATCAAAGCAGCATCACCAGATACATTTTCTAACGCCTAATAAATACATCGACTAGTTGAAGTTTTTTAGCTGATCTACTGCTGAGAAGTTTTATTTGATCAAATATTTTCTCAGCATGTCACATGTTTTGTATGTAAAATCCTAATTTTATAAAGAACCTGAAGCTGTCACATAAACGTAGTAAAAGCTTTAATTTTTCCTTCTGAAATCGAGTGGAGCCTGACAATACAAGTACCTCAGACTTGTCATCATCATTAGACGTCTTTGGTGTGAAGACGTTACACAGTGAAGTCAGTCAGGATTACTTACGTAGCCGCAGGCTCTGCAGTGGTGTCTCCGCCGTGTCAGAGCGTTGAAAGGCTCCTTACACTTCATACACATCGTCACTTCATTGTCACGGATCCAGCGAGGAGCGCGCTTCCCCAGCTCGGCTTTCTGCATTAAAATAAAAAAACAGACTCAGCATGATGGTGTGGAAATGTGTGGAGAGCTTCAACGTGTACAGTCCTGACGTAACGCTCACCGACACTTCCTCTACGTCCTTCTGTGCATTCTTGAATGACTCGTTTTTCTGCTGGAAGATCTCAATGGTCTCCTGGAAAGCCTGGGAAAGAAGAACGTCGAATGAGGGTGTCGTTCTAAATGAGCTTCAAAGCCACAATAAAATGTGGTTGTTGTGCTTTATGTACCTTAATCCAGTCGGCCTTGTCTTGCTCTGAGCTGAGGAGGAGAGGAAGCAGAACAGGCATTAAAAGTGAACTGTGAAAACGTACAACCTTCACTTCCCATTCCGCTTAGAACACCAAGACAACCCAACGTAGCAGTTAGCTGTGGTTGAAGGACTCTTTTTTTAAGAGCTTTAAAGGAGTGGTGCTCATTTCAGTGGTATTCCACATATAACATTATACAGTTCTGTATAATTACATACATTAATATGGGAGGAGATCAGAGGTTTGTGATGAAACTTTTACAGTTACTGCAGAAAGTACAAGTTTCAAAATGCACGCCGATAGTACCTGGCCTGGAGCTCCAGCGTCCTCTCTTTCCCCGACACCTGGAAGGTATGAGGGTAGTCCTCGTTGGTGGTTTCCAGGACCTTCATGCCGTCGATGCCGATCCGCGTCCTCACCGTGTACTTGGTCCCTCCCAGGCTGAACTTGGGCACGCAGTACAACAGCATGTTGTTGAACTGGAAGGAAAAAAACAAAGGAAAACTTTGCAGCTGAGCCATGTGAACATGTGAGAAGCACGGATCAGCACTATAGTAGTTTCAAGTTTCTCTAATTGTTTACTTGAAAAGGACGCAGCCTAAAGCTCAGCAGGTAACCTCAATCACACAGCTGGGACACATTGTGCATGCAGCTAATAAGAAACAACCAGAACATAATCACATCATCCGGCAATCTCAGTAAATTGAGGGATTTGTTTATGGGCCCCTGACGTGTCCTTGCGGAGGTGTTTCCTGGCATGAAATGATTCACTTGTTTCAATTGACTGGTGCGGCTGAAGGTCAGCATATTTCCCTGCAGTGTCCTTCATTAGGCCTGAAGACGTTGGTGTGCTCGACGCTTTCTCTCACCAGGAAGAGGTACCGCTCCATGGCTGAGGTGTTCCTGGCTGCCAGCTTCAGGATGTGGCCCTCTTTGATGAACTCGTTGGAGGGGTTAACGATGTCCTCCTCCTCCCCCAGCATCTCGTAGATCTCCATCAGCTTCTTTAGGTTCTCCTAAATCATTCACAGACATGTATTTCAGTCAGGTTGTAAAGCGTTGGGGAGATTCTCAACAAGGAGACTGAGGAGCATCTTAACTTACAGATTTTCTGATGGCGCTGTTGGAGTGAGTCGCTGCTGTGGCGATAATTTCCAACGATTCTGAAGGGAAACATGGATTATTTTTAACAGAGCCAGACATCACATCCTCAAATGTTCTTCACGTGATATGAAAATGACACCTCATGGTCGGAAGCTTAGGCACTGTTTCGACTCACTTTCTGCATCTCGTCGGTCGGGGTCGTCCTGAGGCAGCTTCTTCAGGTAGTCCTTCAGCAGCATCTCGTATCGAGGGACTCTCTGCACCGGCTCCAACATGTGATGCTGAAGCGTCAGGCAGCCGCACACCTCTTGGCTCTGTCCACATACGACCAGAAAGCTCACATTGTCATACAAACACTTCATTCGACCTTATAAATGATCATCCTCCATCCCGTCAGATACGAACACATTTACTGCATCAGCATCATTTTCAGGAAGTGCATTTTCCCAGATTGGCTTGTGGTGGACTGTTCGTACCTGTATCTCCTGAATTATGGCCTTGAACTGCGGCGAGCGGTCGATCCACTGCTTCAGCAGCTCCATGGCCTTGTCGAAATTCTTCACGTACTCTGCGTACATTTTGAGGAAGGGTGTGAGTTTCTGCAGGATGTCCCCGATGCGAGGAGTCGACGCCCTGCGGGGAAGGAGCGACGAGGCAACGTGAATCCATTACTGATGGACTGCATGACTTTGTTTTTCAATTTCTGTCCTACTTAAACTCCAAAAAATTCCAAAGTTTTATCGGTTTTATATTTCAGACTCACCATTCGCCCATGCGTTTCTCCAGGTCGGGGAGCAGAAACTGGCCGTGAAAGGCGTTGATAGAGGAGATGTTGGAGAAGATGTTCTTCACTACATCCACGGGGAACGTTCCTTTGTTCGCCTCCTCCATTAGCTTAGCACAGAACACCTGCAGAGCCGTATACAGTTACAGTAAGCTGAGAGTTTCCCTTCGCAGCAAACGTAAGCTCCTTGACTGCGTGACACGGTGGGACAAAAAAAAGCAGAAATGAACTTTGAACAAGTTCCTCACCTGGTCCAGCAGGTTAAGTCGCGCTACGTAGGCCTTCTCCGTGTGCAAGAGCTCGCTGGCGATCTTATATAGCTTCTGTTCGTTTGTTTCCTGAGAAGAGAGATCGCGTTATTAAAACTGTTTACATGTGACTTGAATTGTTGGGTTTCTCTCTGTAACACTGGAGGTCTGTGTGAAATCATTCATGAAGGACGTGAGTCTGCAGCGTCATGATGGTTTCTGTCTTCTCGTCCTCTGTGGATAAAGCTTCCTCATTAGGTGTCAACACAGAGAACTGAGTTAATCTCTGCTTAAAGTCATGTGAAACTACAGAACAAATACAGTTTAACTTATTATTCATTCCCACATCTTTGTCATTTTAAAGTTTAGCTTCACGTTTTCCTGCAAGTTGCTGCTTTTTACTGAACGACAGTGAAGAACGAGAAAATGTTCACGTCTTTCTGTGCTTTTACTATACTGGTGTGAGTTCTGCTCCGCGGTGACTCGTTCTTGAGCTTCGTGTTAGAATGCAGTTCATGTGTCACTGGTGTGCATGTCATTAACGCTGGGCTGACGGGGGGAGCTCTCAGAACAGGAAATGAAAATATGGGAGAAGGGAAACGACACCAAATCAAACAATTCACTACAAACCGACCTGCAGGTGAGACGTCAACAGGTACGTACAAGAAAAGCCCCAAAACCATCCCGAGAACACACGACAATGATGGACATGCGGTGCTTTGGCTGCACACTGGGACATTTCTCCAGCACAACGACAGCTGAAGCAGAATATTTCACGCCATGTGTAACCACAGCGAAGCGCCGTCTTCCTCTCAAACGCCGGCCTGCGCGGCCGAGAGAGGAATCGGCCTCACGCTTCCACATTTCTCAACACATCCACAATGTTGCGTGTTTACTGGTGAGTTTCTGAGAACTTATTTCTCTGAAGGTAAAGTTCTTTATTTTCCAAGCACGCTGCGTTTCAGAGTAACAAGAATGCAGCTCGAAATGTTTCGCAAGGGACGCGGATCAAGGAGAATAGTTTCACATAAACAGTAATAGGAAGTAAAGACTTTCGATTAAGCTCTACACCTCAGTAGTCTTTATTTATTTATTTATTTTTTTTATTTAAATTACTTAGTTATCCTACAGTCCAGGGAGAAGAGCTTCCTTGTGAGACTTTTACATAAAGAATCAGATAATAAGCCAATGCAATACAGTAGTACTAAAGACTAAACAAAACTTTCTGGTTTGTGAAGTTTCATTTCACCAAATGCTTGAGGTTTGAAGAGGTGTATCTGTCAAGCAGAACTAGTTTCTTCTTTCCTACTAAATCGATTTTCTCATTAATCCTCAGACACCCGCTGAAAGGTGCTCGACCTCTAAGTTGTCAAACACGGGACTTAACTGCTTAGTTGCATAAAAAGCCATTAAAACCAGCTCATCCTCCAACAAGTACTGCATCAAAATGCTGCTTAAAGCAAGTCAACACATGAGTATCAATCATCTGATAATATAACACTGATATATCGCTGACTTGCAGAACACATGCTTTCACTTTTCATACGTTTGAGGGCAAAGCCACACATCAACATGTTCCTACATGAAGAAGATCTGGTGGCGTGCAGTTCCACAGAAGTGATGTTTTCTTTCCCCTGAAGCAGGAAAAGCACAGGTGGAAGTAGTAACACGAGTAATGACTCAGTTCCATTAAATGTCCCAGTGAGACACGACAGCGTCGACAACAGCACGACCCGAAGCCATTATTAACACGTCTGCGCCTCTCCTGCCATCAGAATATCTGCCGTGAGAAACCTCAGCTGCAGCAGAACAGCCCGATCTCTGAGCGAACCGTCGGCCGCGGTCCAGTTGAATTGTGGGTGATGTAGGCGCCGAGGCTCGAACACAGAAAGGCGTGAATACAAAAGAGACGCTATGTTTGGTTCTTCTGCATCGATCGCGATATAATAAGTGATGAGACGAGGCTTATGTAAGTTCAACCACACAAACCCTGTTGTATAAATGGAGCCGTGGAAGAGTGTAAACCAGCTTGAATGGAATAAAACTGCATAACAGCATTGTTTTATAGATACACCACATATATATGTGTATGCAGCATGTACATATAAATATATATATGTGGTGTATCTATCTTTACTGTCTACTACTTTGCTCATAACACTTGAGGGCTTTTACTTTTTAAACTTCGAATGCCAGAATGCACTGAAGAATTTTAACTGCTGCTATTTTTTACTGTTATTGTAGTTTTATTGTTGCTTTTATTTTCAGTGTCCTTGTTCCAGGGCACACATAAAGTCCTGAAAAAGTTGTTGTGCAGCAGGCAGCTCAAGGAGAAGCTTCACTGTCTGCACAAACAAATGATTTGATCAGAAATCCAATAGCTGGAAAAAAGCCACTCAAACAATCAAATGCCTCGCTTGGCTACTAGAAGGACATGCAACGGCTCAAAGTCCACACCAAGAAAAATCAAGTTCATCCCCAAAGTTAAGCTTTAACTGGCTCCCTCTCAGGTCAACAACACCGCTAAAAATATGTGTTGTGTTGACTGAGAGGCACGGACACTTCACCAGGGAGCATTTAGCACGGCTGAGTGCTCCGAGTACTATAATCTTTGGCTTTTCCTCTCCCACACCACCGAGGCTGCGTCGCTGTTTTCATCACTCAGAAGACAGAGATTGATCTGAACCTGAGATATTTATAATCTGTAGACAACAGCAGGCACTGCAGCTTCCCAAAGGAGGGGTTGGGACTTCGCAGAGGCACGAACTCAGCTGCTCAAATGTTTGACATCTGTTCGGCCTTCACAGAAAATAACCCCTCTGAGACAAATGCGATGAAGGCAATACACACAAACACACACACGCAGACACACACACACACACACACACGCACACACACTTCTTGCCGTGTAACTCTATCCTTGCAGAGTGACCCAGAGGTGAAGTAGTTCAGATGATTTAATTGCACTGAAAGCTGAGGAACTAAATAAACGCTGCAGAGTCTGAGCAGCTCTGTGGCATAAGAGGTAAAAACCCACCTGGGTGCACAGGTAGAACACAAGCAAACCAGAAGATTCAAACAGCAGCCCTGTGCTTACCTTCAGGTCTGCGTTCCCTTCTTCGCTCCTCTGTTCACTTTCTGCTGTCGTCCCACTGTCCTCATTCTCAGTGTGGCTTTCTGTGCCAGTTCTGTCTGTGTGTGCTGCTGGTGAATGATCGCCGCTCTGCTCTGCGCTCCCCATATCTCCATTTACCAGCTCGCCAGTCCCTGTCCTCTCACTTTCGTGGTTCTTCTCCTCTTTGTCCTCCTTCTCCTTGCCCTGCTCCATCTGCACTAGCACCCCGTTCGCTGCTGGTTTGTGGTCATCCTGCTTTGCGGCCGGCGCCGACGAGCTGTTCTCCTGAGTCCTGCCGCTCTCCGCCTGCTTCTGGTAGGGCCGGTGAGCTGGGCTGCAGTTGGAGGATTTGCTGGTGTGTTTGAGCGGCGAGCCGTCTCGCTTGTTCTCTGTGCCGCTGTGGAGGAACAGAGGGGAAAAAAAAGCAAAGGAGGAAGTGGGTCAGCTCGGCAAGAGCGCAGACAAGAGTCAACTGACAACCTTCCCGAGCAAAAACAAGAGGAGAAGATAAATTACAGGAGGCTGCTTAGCGGCCGCTCGAACCGGCACGTTATCAGAGAGCGTGGGGGCACGACAGTAAGCAGAGAGCTTCTGCACATGAGTGTGAGAGTTAAAAATAAACCGGTGGAGATGCGTAAACTTCCTGCTGTCTTATCAAGCTGCTGAGAGCGGCTGTAACGCAGAGGAAGCGAGGGCAGATCAGAGGAGTAGAGGTACAGTAATGAGAAGGACAGCAGCGGTAGGAGGAGGAGGAGGAGGAGATGTACGACACTTGTCCCAAGAGGCAGATGCTGTCCTACTTCCACACACATGGAGAACCTGCTTCATGCATCGTGCTGCAAGATTGATTTCATTCTTTGCTCGGACGTGAATGAAATGGAAAAACAGTTTGCACAGGACAAACTGAAATACAGCACAGGAGTGGAAGCTAGATGAACACAAAAAAACAAACACATGCACGTACAGCGTTCAGCTGCCCTACATCCTGTAGCCGCAGCCAGTGCAGCTGTTTCCCTGTAAGTGACCCACCGGACCTCCAGCGTTACTACAAACACACACAGTAGCTGCTGCATAACCAGCTACAAATACGATTAGAGGCACCTAAAATTCATATATCTGCACTCTGACCTTTACTGATGCAGAGAACCTCAGCCGAGCAGGTGATCTGTAGCCTCAGCAAAGTGCTCCGTTGCACTTAATGCTGCTGCCCAGCAGAAACAGGAAGTGTGTATAAATAGAGGAACCACAACAGGCTGGTGAAACACTCCACAGATGAATCAGTTGTGGCTGTCGGCCACCTGAGCGGCGTGAAACAATATACGTTTATCTCTCAGAGGAAGACTGAATAATAGCACGATTAGCTGGAGAGAGATGCTGTTCATTAGAAAAACACACCTCACCGTGGAGGTTCACACATCAGTTCCTCTTTGCTTACAAACAGCACAACAAGTGTTCCAGGACACGACAGTGTTTTAAAACAGGCTGAACCAGACAAGAATTAAGAACAGCTTCACTCGCCATGTGGCCGTCTAGGTGCCTCTAAGGCAGCCAAGTGCCATGTGAACCAGATTAGTATATTAGTAGGCTAATTCTGTTCTCCGAAGCTGTGGGCCTTTCTCTTCTTCTAGGGCCACTAGAGGGATAATCCCCCCCGTAGCCCAGCAGAGTGTGAATGAAAAAGATGCACCGGATTGCTCCGATTAACCTCATTTCACATGAGAAAATGTGATGAAAGGTGTGGAGAAAGCCTGGAATCCCGCTTAGATTCTCTCAGTGTGTTTTTTTAGTCTCTACAGTTTCAGAGATGAAACCGTAGAGACTAAAAAGACGAAGTGAGATTCTTCAGTGGGCTGCCACTGCTGCCGACTGGATGTTTTTAGGGTGCGACTGTACAAGCAGTTGAGACAAGGCCACCATTGTTGAACCACTCTAACTGGGCCTCTTTCACAGAGACAAGACAGCAGCTTTCGAAACTACGAGTTGGAATAAAACTCAACATACAAAAAAAAAGGAGAAACTTCTTATTTACATTAAAGTTAAGACAATTCAGCTGCTGTTCCTTTTCACACAAAAGCCAACAGAACACTTAAATTACCAACTAACTATGAAATAACCAAAATCAGAGCAGATGCACGCAGGCCGAGAGCAGAGTTCCTACCTGGTTCTCCTGGGTTTCATCTCGCACCGCTGAATGCTGTCCCACAACTGAATGAGGACCTGTGTTTGCCCTCGCCTGCACAAATCTCCTTTCATCCCCCTCGCTAACGCTTGGCTTGTCAGGCACCGACTAATCTCCACTCGCTCTCTCCACAGCTCTCGTCTGAGGTACAATCAATGAGTCAGGGCTGAAGAGTTTAATCGAGAGACTTCTGCTTTTCGTCCTTGAAATAGCCGGCAACAGTGAAACATTAGGAAAGACGAAGTTTTCCGTCACTGCGATTACAACAGCCGCAATGAGGCTATTCGAGTTTTTCTTTTTTTTCATTATTACAAAAGCAATGAGGTGACGTAGATGGAATTATTCAACCAGAACCAATCCGTCCTGGCAATAAATAGACAGATAAATAATTGCTCTGCTGCTCACAGACTGAGCGATAATGTTTTGTGCAATTACTTAAGTGAGAGGAATACTGAAGAGCACTTTTCCTGAACATTACAGAGCAGATTAGAGCTGCATGTAATGAGCAGTTCCTCACACAAATCCCATCAAATAAGTACTCAAGGCTTCCTTTACATCATATATGTTCTCTCTGTGGACAAACACACACCATCAGAGAGACGTTTAACAGCTCATACCTGTTTTCCTCAAAGCGGCTGATCAGGTCTGAGACTTTGGAGGGCTTATCTTTCGCCCTCTCCCGGTTCACAGCCCCGGTTTTCCCGCCTCCTTCCTCCATGACGGTTCTAAGCGGCGGCGGCTTCTGGAAGCGGCCCAGCGGGGACGAGAGCTCCGTCACTGGGCTCTGGAGGTGTAGCGGCTTCGGAGGCACTGGAGAGGAGGGAAAAACAAAAAGAAAAAACTTGAGCAAATATGTAGAATGCTAATGATGACTGGCTCACATCAGGGTGACTGCAGGTCACTGCAATCTCAGTTTGGAGCTGAAGGGGGCAGTATAAGCTATCACAACTGATGCCACTTGCAGGAAAGTGAGCTGTAATAAAATGAAATCCTAAATGTCAACAAACAAGTGGCGCAACTCTGAGTTTTATTTGTTCACAAGTCACTGAATGTGCTGCTTGATTTACAGCAGCAGAGAGAGGAACGGGGCCCTGCCTTCCGTCTTATCAGCGTCCAATGATTTACTCAGTTCAAACAAAAGAGGAACGAGTCTCTGGGTCCAAAGAACCCAGGCCCTTATATAACTCCACTCCTGTTTGAACTGCTTTATGAACTCGTGCACAGCCATGTAGTGTACAGTAGCTCCTTGGGCGCTGATGAATTATTGAGCGAACACACAGAAGGACAACATTAAAGCAGCAGAAAGGTCACCCCGACACCAAACAATGACTCCGTGTGTGTCGATGCTTTTACATGTGAATCACAGAGCCATTTATCCGCTGTGGCGGTTCCGCCTTCTGACCTTCCCACTCTGCGGCGTCTGGCTGAATTTGCTGTGACTTGCTGTTGTGTACCTTGCGGTTTCGACTGCAGCCACGGCCTGCCGCTAGAGCCTCTTCCATTGACGCCTCCCCGGCTCGCTTCAGTCGCCCCTCTGTTGGCTCGATTCAGACACGCCTGCACACTGGGAGCGCTGCTGAGGCTTCTCGCCGGGCTGCTGCCTAAAGCTGAAGGACGACGACAGAAAGCATTACAGCAAGATCAATGACAGATCCACAGACAAAGAAGTGAGAGTGAAGCTGCACATTCTAACTGATGACACATTATTACCAGCTAGTTACTCAGATGATGCTAAACCATCCTTTCCTTTATCCTTCAAGAATCAAATATTGTCCTGATTTATTTTGATCCACCCTTTTTTTCATGTATATAATTGATGGTCTTGTGTTTATGCACCTTCCTAGAGAAAGTTTGATCTCTGCTGCTTTATCAGAACAGTTCAGTCAACACACCACATGAAGACTGCAATATTTTGCATATCACAGAAACACCACCATCAGATAATCACCGCTCAAACACGCTGCTTTCAAACATATTCTAGGTGCTTGTTTGCTATTTGGATCCTCATTAGCTTCCACCACAGCAGTTGCCAGACTTCCTGGGGTCCACAATCGTAAAATACATCGCAAAGGCACATTCGAACGCACATGAAAGTTTCCTAACAAGCCGCCGAAGGCAACACCGAGATTATCATTATCACACTAGACACAGTCAGTCGTATAATAAGGGCTTTTATTTGGATTTCTTACAGGTGGGGATTTGGATAAAGCTCTGAAAATAACTTATTTTTTGAGAAATATCATGTTTACGAGAGGAATTAATAAACTGGAGTTACTTGAGAAACGTGTGACCTAATTATGCTCTATATCTGGATGCTGGAGCCGAGCAGAAAGCGAGTGGAGTGTAAGTGATGAACTCGCTTTCTTTACAAACTCTAGTAAACCATACATACGTTTCTCTTCTATAGTCTCTTATGGACATCCTTAAACTAACCAAACTGGCTTTTTGTGCAATAGCTAAAGTCTTCTGAGGTCTTTATTATTAGCAACAGACCGTAAGACTGAGCAATACTCCAAATTGCATAACACTATTCATCAGATCAAAGAGAGTTTCCGTGACTAAACAAGTGACAAAAAAAAAAGAAAAGGACATTTTTCTGGAAGCAGTTACTTCCTCCCATTTTTTAATTATACTGTCAATGTGCTCAGACCACAGAAGATTATGGTCCAGAGTAATTCCCAGGAATCTGAGCTGATGTGCTCTAATTTGGAGTCCTGTACTCGGAGAAAATATCAATTTTGGCACACTGGAGGGAATGCTGTAAACATCAAGGGGCTGAATCTGATAGTTTTGTCAACGCAGAGCTTCTCCTGGGAAAAATTAACCCCCTAAAGACCGTCTCTGCTCTTTAAAACGACATATTTACAGTTTGTTTGTGTTTCTAACATAAAAACGATTTCCTTCAGACACTACTTTGCCTCCTTAAGGATGCATATGTCTATAAATGTGCAAATTCTGTCTGAACTCTGCTGTTCACTGCAGCTCAGGCACACCAGCTCACCTTAAACTAATAGAGGCTGCACAACGGCAAGCTCTGACATTGGAGTAATTGAGCCATACATGATTGATTCGCAAACAAATTCTGAAGACGAGGAAGAAAAGCAAACTGCCTGTAAGTCGGTAAATCAGAATATTAACATATTTCATGTATTGCTTTCTACAGCAACAGTAAAATAACGGTAACAGCCACTAATGTGTTGCTAATGTTAGATATATATATAGAGGCTCACAATCTTTTTCCCCAATCTGCAATTAGACAGGATTGGCTCTTCAGGTTTGTGATGTATGAAACCCTGGAAGTCTGAATCTGTGTTTTGGAGAATGCTATCGGTGCACTGCAGTTCCAAACTGAATATGCTCAGCCAGTCATGATGTGTGTTCTAGCATAGAAAAATCTCTATTATTAGATGCTCACAAGCCTTAAAATGGGATCTGCATTGAAGGAAGTCTTCAAGGAAGTCTTCAAGGGTTGCACTTCACAACCCTTGATAAAGCTGAATGGTCACAGTGCCTTCACATCTGACCAGAAGCTTGCATATGTCCCATGTAAGGAGAGATACTGTACAATTATTGCTGTAAATATAATTAGGAAAAAACAGCTGAAGCCTAAATATTAAAGAGTGTCAAACACTCCAGCTGATTATCCGGCTAATGATCCAGTTGATGATCAGCACCAGCGAGACTTTTTACCCAGCCAGCTGGCCACAGATGGTGCAGCATCGGTGTTTAGACGGAGCAGACAGACTGATTTAATGGAGCAGCCGACACAGACTGGCAGTGTTTACAGTAGCCTAAATCTCTCTCTGTGACCTAAAACACTCACAGGCCTGTAAGGAGAGCAGCCCAGTAAGGCAAAGGCCCCTATATGGACTCACACTGCCGGGAGGTCGTGTGCATTCTCATTATTTTGCACGCTATTAGTCCATTAGTTTCCATTTAAGGTGGTCACTTAAACAGGTGTGGGTGATTTAACAAGAGGCACTGATGAATAGGGCGGGTGCAGAGATCGATGCAGCTCCGTGCTCGGCTAACTCGTGTGGATAAACAGTGGAATAGCGTAATCTGTTCCAGAAGCTGCACACAAACTTGCACTTTGGTTAGAAACTGAACTTCTGTCTTTTGTGGCTTCCCTGTTTTCCATCACAAAGGCTCTGTAGCGCAGAAAACGAAGAATAGTCCTGGTCTGTTCGGCAAAGAGGAATTTTCCACCCTTGCACCATAAATCATTGAGAAGAGGTCTTAATATCTTGATAGACTGGGTCTCATCTCGTCTAAAAATAGATCAACCATCTGCACTTTGAGGGAAGAACATCATCATGTGCTCTAGTGCCATCTCAGAAAATTATCTTCCACTTTCACTGACAAATTCGTGAAGTAGATTAGAGCTGAAACGATAAACTGATGAAGTGATTAGAAAATTGACAGAAAACAAGTCTATTTAGTTGTCATAGAGCTTTTCCCAAACAAAAACATGTGATGTTTTGCAACGCTGCATGACTATCTGAAGATGTCTGCATGCAATTTTTATTTTCTCACTCAATTAATCAAGAAAATAGACGGTTGATTCCCTGATAATAAATATAATTGCTACTTGCAGCATATAAACGACGGCCTCACAGTGAAACATACATGTGCTATACGTGCGGTGAGCCCATCCAGATGCAGTTTGTTTACAAAAACGCTTTTACTACGTGCCAAAACGGAGCCCAAAGCCCCATATTTATGTTTCCTAGACTGATCTTTATCTTTACCAATCCTGAAACAGAAAGAGAAAATAAGATGACCACAGAATCATACAGTCACCGTTTCTATTTTTAAAGCCTGACCGTAATTAAAGACAACAGCTCGAGCAACTGTCTGACTGGAAACGGTCCCACGCTGTGTTTGGGAGAGCAGACGGTCTAAACATGGCCCCAAAATTACCAATCAATTATAAAAGGCAGCCTCAGGAATTTCCCTTAATTAGTTGCTTGGCTTCCCCTCGAGGCCACATTAAGAGATTATAAGAAAACATCCAGCAACAAGTTGTGCACTATATTATAAATATATGGGCCAAAGCGAAGCCCCTGCCTGCAAATTGCACTTCACATGTGGCATTTATCCTGAGAGAGCGCAGGAGGTCCACTCTCCACAGAATCGGCTCCGTCTCTGCGGGCTGTTTAGTGAAATCCTTTCTGCCCTTCAGGCTTTAACGTGAACCTGAGAAAGCTGTTTAGGTATTTTAAGTGCTGCTTTTCAAGATAAGGAACGGTGAGATGTACACGTAGATCTGAAAATGCAAATATGCTTTTCCTTGAACCCGCACACACCAACTCTAAGGTCGACTGTGTGGAGGAAGATTTGAAGTTAAGATCAGATCATCGATGTCAAAGCTCTTATCCGAACCATGAGGGGAATGTTGCTGCTGCTGTCGTTACAGTAAAAATAGGATGAACTCGGCTTCCTTTCTCACAACTGCAGCGCTTGGCAGGAACTGTTGCTCCTGGTAACACACTCATTCTGGCATCTTCTCATTAAAGCTGTCTTGGCACAAGTGACGGACCGCTGTGTACAGTAAATTAGAAGCAGTCAGCCACCACCCAGCAGAAAACACTTTGATTCTCCGTCTCCATCTGGGTGACGGGGAGGGAGCCCTGCCGTCTGGAGCCGAGGCTTTTTGATGTCAACAGTGGGGGAGCTCCTGATGGACAAGGAATCAAAGCGAACGCCGTGTCAAACGCGATGGCGGCTCGTGTCTTTATGCGCCGTTTTACTGTATAGAGGTAGTGTGGTTTTCACAGAAACCGAAACATAGGTGGAGCACGGCAGCGATCCAGGAAGGGAGGCCTCGGCGAGTCAAACTGACACTCAACCTTTGTCTCGGTCCCCGCTGCAGGATGGTCGGACGTGCAACCATGGCAACGAGCCCCGCACTTTATGAAGATGCAAAATTTATTTCACTAAAGACTCCAGCGAGCCCAGAGGCATCGATCTCAATAAATCCAAGGCTACGCAGCAGCAGCAGGCCCAAGAACAGAGAAACGCTCCTGTAAAGGTCAACCATCAGTAGCGGCGCAGAGAAGAAGACTTATGCAAAACGCTGGTTTGCAGAGCAGCTGGCATCTTTGATCTGACAAATAAACTCAACTCTTATCTAACAGGAACAGCTCCTTTCCTTACTGCGTGAGTTTATCAACAGCACAGAGCTAATGCCAGAAATTCTCAAATAAGTAAAGAAGTTCCTCTGTGTGGTTCACCTGAGCTCAGTCAGTTATGTGCATATGTGTGTGTGTGTGTGTGTGTGTGTGTGTGTGTGTGTGTGTGTGTGTGGTCAGTGTGGTGCTAGCAACACGGATAAAAAACCACCACACCCACCTCCAATCTACAACCCTCCAGCTCTGACACATCACAACAGAAGAGAAGGAAGTTCACTGCAAGCCGGCAAAGGAGGCCGAAAAGAATGTATGACTGGAGCACAAATATGTTCCTCTGCAACAAAAAAAAAACAAGCAATGTCCGAAAATAATGTATCATCCAAACTAGGGCTTAAAATAGCTTGGCTCCAGGCACAGCGAGTTCTGCCAGTTTGTTGGTCAAACACTTAAGTAAGTATTGGACAGACTGCCAT